GCAGCCAGCTGTTTGCAGAGAAATCCTTAGATCAAACGTTCCAACCGAAACGCTGTAGGCTACAAGAATGTAGCCACGGTACTCTCGCGCAGCGAGACGATGAAAGGAACAGATCCTCTGACGACACCGGCATATGTAGCCGGTGTCACGTGGGTCACAGGTGACTTTGTTGTTATTGGTACTCGAGGTGCGCATCCGCGCGATGGACATATCCAGTGCTAAAGCACCGCCTCTGGCGGTCAGTAGGGACGAAATAGAACTCTATCTGGTGATACTGCTATCCATTCAGAGGTTTAACCACTGGTTGACTGGTGTTGAATTTAACGAAAAGGTACATGTTAATGAAAGGTCCATTCTATTCACAATAATACACACTCAAAATTACCAATTTATACTGTGTGTTCCTCATTGCTTCCTTTGTAAATGCATAGTTGTATCTTTTACTTTTACTCCACCTATTTTGATCATCAATTAATGTGATGACTATTTTCTTAATTAGCAAGGAATATCAGAAATAACAAACATTTATGGCTTCAAATTCCTTTTCCTGTCCCACCTTCATTCCAAAACACAAAAATCGTTCCATTAACATTGATGTAAAAATAAGAAAGCTTCACATCCTGACATTTTATGAGCAAAACATTTTGCTTGATAATTGATTCAACTTTGTTATCATAAGTTTTGTTCTTCCACTATTGTCATTTATAAATCCCCTTATTGCTAACACTGAGTACTGAATCCATAGGGACAACACATGCGTTAGTTGTATTTGGACTGGTAAAAGTTGATTATGTTTATTATGATTATTATCTAAAATGTACTATTTGCTGTGTTATTTTACAACATGTCAAATAAAATACTAATTAAAAAAACTATCATCCTTGAGAACCGACAGTGAAATCTATAAACTGTTTGTGACTGTACTCATAAATATCTGTGGTTATAGTTACAAGCGAGATCACGACTCATGTCAGATATTGTTGCCATCAGTTGTATTAATGATGGTGTTGTGGTGGAGCCCACATGTGATGATGTTATTTGTTGGAACAGCTTTGGGAAATGGGAAACGACAAACCATGATTGTCAGTGTTGATATAGCCATATTTGAATTGTGTACACCCATATTACAACTAATTATGGGTTTAGTCGAAGGTGTCAGTGAGTCTCACAGAGAACTCGCAGTGTTATATGGTGTCAAGGAGAGATTACCTTCATCCGGTGTAATTAGAGGACGTTCTGAGCCTTAGCTGAAATGTCTCTGCCACCACCTCGCTACAAATGTCTTTTCATTAACTCATTAAACTGAGGACAATTTGTCCAAAATGATTAATTAAGTGTTATTCTATGCTGTTTTCAGATTTAGGGTTTTCACCGCAGATTTTTCAATGGAAAGTCTGAAGGGGTGGAGACGTGTTGTCAACAACTGTGTTGATAAATCAAAGCGTCCCTGGTCTAATTCATGGTACAATTATCTCAAAGGAGAAGCTTTTGAGGAGGTTTTAAAGTGAGCCCATATGCTGCAGACCACAACCTGTTGCCACATCTTCAAAACATCTATGGAGATGGAACTCAGTGTTTCCTCCTATAGACCCCATGGCCCAGACAGAGAAACAATTACAACATCAAATAAAAAAGAGTGCAGCGCTCTTTCCAGGATCACAGGGTTCTTTGGCAGTGAGCAGGGTTTCTGGCTGAGAGCCGCCCTCACTCAAAGATATGGCAAGGATTTCATCATGACACAGAGCGCAGGATACTTACCCAAGGAGAGGAGGATGGAGCCAGTTGTGGATTCAAAAGCTAGGAATCCCTGTTCTTTGTCACTGTAAGGATAATGATTGCTATAATGATGATGATGATGATACGTGCATTCTTTCTTGGTGTTTCAATACTAAAGAATTCAGTGGAGGGTATGTGTTGTTTCTGTTTGGCTTGCAGGATCAGTGACATCACTTTTTAGCTACATCTTTGCATTTCTGAGGAAAATGTCATTCAGCTGAAAAAGATAAGTTAACTTATTATTCTGGAATTCACAATAGGATGAGCACAAGATGATTTTTCAACTTCTAATGCTGCGTTCACACCGGACGCGATGCGATGTATGGGGGCGGCGGGATTACATGTAAAGTCAATGCAGAGACGCGGACAGACGCGAATTCGCTCCGACGGTGCGCATGAAGCGGTGGACGCGGCGCGAATCACGCGATTGAGGCGATTGAACGGTGCCGCGTTAAACGCGAGAGTTCCATTTTTTCAACTCGAGCGTCAAATTCATGTGACGCGTTCTCGCGGAAGCCAATCAGCAGTGAGGATCTCAGCCTGCCGTCACTGACGTTCAACCACACAACATCAGCCGTTAGCTGTTAGCAGTTAGCACACAGAGCTCACAGCTCCTCATATCTGTTCAGAAACTGGACAAAAGTTAAACAAGTACAAACCACAGACTGTCTGTGCCATGACGAATACAGTCGATGGTTTATTTATGTCTGTAGGCCGTTGTTATGAGTGTGGAATGAGCATATACAACGTTAGCTTAGCCTGGTCGACCCGATCTTCATTCAGAAAACAAGCATTTTAAAAGATTTTTCGCCTGCCGTCTTGTCTGCAGACTTGTCAAGCATTAATTCATGGTTTTTACTAACCGGTATCAGTATGTTGTTACTTTGGCATCATTTAGAAACGTGTATTACAATTTAATCACGGTAAAATATGTTCATTGTGTTGTAGTTGTAGCTCCCGAGCCAGCGCGTCTTGTTTGAATGATGCGAGTAAACACAGCTGGCAGCCGCGGTGAAACTCCAGCGTTTAGAGCGATGCGATAGGAGCGATTAGAGCGAAGCGAATATTCGCATCGCGTCCGGTGTGAACGCAGCATTAGTGCACCCCTGATTACTCTCTGACTTATGTCTGTGGCTCTCTGGCATAGGTTATTTGGATCTGAAAACAGAAAGTTAGGGTTAGGGTTAGGATTAGGGTAAGGTTTAGGGTTGGACAGAAAATAGTTAATTCAGGACTATTTTCAGCCATTGCTTACAACACATTTGATGCTCTGCCACAAATGTCCAGTGGAAGAACATTGCATGTTGGATTGACCCAAAATTCGGCATGATAGAGGAATATGTCATCCAATGAAACGATTTGACTCATTGACGTGTTTTTTTAAAATAATCAGGTTTTGCACAGACAATACTTGTTATTAGTTCATTGTTGGTTTTGGAGTATTAAAGGTAGGGTAGGTAAGTTTGAGAAACCAGCTCGAGTGCGCTAGAATTTGAAAATACACAACCGGAGAAAATCTGCCACTTCCTTATAGAGCCCCTCCTCCAACACACGAACGCGCACATGACCAATGAGGGCACGAGATAAGTTTGTGCACAGATGGAAGGCTGACAGGCAGGTAGGCCATCCAGTTATTTTAGCCGGGCCGGCTAAAATGATTGGTCGTGCTTTCTACAGTACTACGGCTTCCACAGATGACATTTATTTATGGATTTTTTGTCAAAGCACTTAAGATATTCATTGCTATCGGGATCTTAAGAGCATTCCAGGGAATATAACAAAAAGTGTATCTCGAGCCGGTTTCTCAAACTTACCTACCCCACCTTTAATGGAATTTAGAAAGAAATTGAATATCACTAGAGTTATCCTTAAAGTAACAACCAGGAATTTAATCGGGATGAGCCCACAACCTTCTATAACTAGTTCAGAGTTGACTAAGCTTCTTATTTACAAATTCAAGGAAAAAACAACCTTTTGTGTTGATAAAAAAACAATTCCCTTATTTGTTGTTTTTATCATGGTGGAGGCAATGTATAATGCATGACAGTTCAACATCTCTACATTTAAGAGAGTCAAGATACAAGGGCAATAAGTACAAGTATTCGGTGACCTTTCCATGTGGAAGCATCTGCATTTATTATGTTTCTTCACTATTTCTTCATGATTTTCCTATCAATTTTCACCTTTCAACTCTTACCAAAGTTATTACATAAGATCAGAGGTTGTTTTGCAATGAATCTCATCATGGCTGAAAATACCATTCATATTCAAAGAAGTTAGCACCACATGATCCTGATTTCTGCACCAGACATAATCCACCTCCAGTTTCTGTATCATAACTTTACACTTCTTTATAAAGAGTTATTGCTAGGGGAGTTAGGATGGTGTCAGTGCTGTTTTTTCAGCAGGGCTGCGACCTCTCAACAAAGACGGAAAACCTCTGAAAGTGATACTCACTCTGCAGAGGCCGTCTGACTAAACCAAGCGAGACGTTATTAGCATTCTGGAGCTAAAATGTTTGAGTAAAAGCTAAAAATGGATTTGTCACTGTCTCCTTGTCTTCAGATGATTCATCCTGAGCCATTCTCTGCCCTCCTTCTCTTTTTCTGAACTTGAGCCAAGACAAGTGCAAGCAAGTCCCAGGGACAGGTTTGATGGGCGACTTTTAATAGTTTTCTTTCCTCTGCACACCAGGGAAAGAAAGGAATCTGTTTTTCCAGCTGATTTGAGGATAAAAAGACATCATTTTTTATGACAGTGTTGTTTTGACCTTTTATTTATGATTATTTTAATTTGAAAAATGCTATCATATGATAAGTATAATATGTAATTGTTTTGACTTTGCAGAGGTGGTGTAGTGGCCTTCACTTTCACTATGCAATGCGAAGGCACTTCCTTATTTCCTTACAATTTGACAAACTAACATATTTTCCCCCACTTTTTCCTTCTCTCTATAGCACTCTGGGTCATATCATGTTCTCCAGGAGAATGCGGAAAGCTGCGATAGCATCGGCAAGATGGTGCAAAGTGATGACAAATCGGCAGATTCAGCCTGTTTTACGAGGAGTGGGTCACGGGTGACTGAGAACACGTAGTCTGTTGGTAAGGGCTTCATCGTTTTGCATTGTAGAGACAAAGCCTTTATTAGAAAATGACTGAGAGTAGACTGAAGGGTTGGAGGCAGAGCCGCTCTGAAGAGATAGTGAAACTGATTAAATTAAACCTCACCAGATTAGGCCAACAAAACCAAGCAAAGTTAATGTGGTATAAGGCAGACGCTAAAGGTGTAAAGGGAGTGTTCATGGAGCAGGTATGTTTTGATAATGCTTCTCTTTCTAACTGAAACAATGCATTGTAAGTTATGTAAAGTTGAGACAAGTAAGACAGTTGTGTAGTTTAACTAAGTGGGACTTCCAAGATTAGGAATGTCAAGAAAACTGAAATCACATGTTTCTTCAGACTCAAAGATTCCTCCTCTTTCATTCGTCTTGGTTAAACCTGACAAATGGACTGACGTGGAGTTTACAGAAAACAAGAAATCTGTCTTTTCTTTTCAGTAATGTAAGGGCCCTCCAACTCGAACTTTAGATTTGCTATTTCCCTTTACAGTGGACAGATTGGTTACAGAATTAATATGTTTATGTAGAAAACAATTGCCACAAATTAATTTAGTCACCCCATGTAGAGCAGCCTGAGCATTTTGCCTTGTTTTTCTCAAGCGTTCTAGCGCCTTCCACCCAGATAGACGGTGAAGTATTGTGAAACATAGAGAGGGAAAGATGGGGGGCAAAGAGGGGGAAAGAGAGCATGACAGAGCTTAATCACCAGGTTGACAGAAGAGAGACCTTGGAGTGTACTGCCTCACTTTTTGGGGAGTTTATATATAAACACCTTGAACATGCAGGTGGTAATACGGGCCAGTAGGGGTACATACATAGATATTTCTTTAGATAAATGGACTTGAACGCTCCTAAGGGGAAAAAAAGAAAGCATATGTCTTAAACACTAAATTATGGAAACTCTGAAACAGTATTGTACTGTATTAGGTTAGTTGAAAGAAATAATATTTAGTTTAAATAAAAATGATAGGTTCAACTCAATATTATTGCTTTAAACTAATCTAATACGGTTATGTGAAATGTGTTGACCTAATACATTTATATATAAAGTCAATGTTTCCGTTTGTCATTGAAGGTGGAAAATAATGGTTTCGGATAATCCCTCTTCTTTCTCCTTTCTTGTTTGAAAGTCAGATGAATAAAAAAAAAATTACTCCTGAAGATAATCTTAAGCAAAACCTTTTATGTTTACCAATTTAAAACAAAGAGAAAAAAAAAATATTAAGAAGATTATTATTTGTGTCTCTTTCTTGCCTCTGGGGCTTCTGTATTTAGAGGGAAAGTGGTATACCTGCAGATGACCAGATCAAATTGGGATCTGAAATTATAATTTGTACTACCATAACACATTGAAATCAAACTCCTTTGACTTGTTTGCTCAAATTGATTGAAACCATCTCTATATGACAGTTGAATGGCTGCAGAAGCTCATCCAGGTCAGGTGAGTTTGTTTGTTTGCTTACCTCACATTACATGTCTGCGCTACCTGGTGCAGTCACGCCATCCTCTGGGCTTCAGTGGAAGCTGCTGTTTTCACTTTTAAGATGATATTTTTTGAATTTTCTGTCTTTTCCCAGATTTCTACACCTTTTAGACGTGCATCTCAGTGGTTATAAACACCACACTGTTATTGTTAGCATTGGCAAATAAGAAGCATGAGTTTCAGGGAGTGCAGATATATTGATAAAAGTGTAGTGAGAGTAAAAATGTGGGCTCACAATTAACAATATATTGCTGTTCAAATTCAGTGCAGATACGTTTTAAGTGCTGCTCAGTTGATTCAGAGGTTCATCTAATTTTACACAACATAATGTCAGTGTATCCTCCAGTAGATGGCAGCATAGGCTAACAAAACCACATGTGGATTTTTTCTATCGAAGCAAGGGTCTCCTTCAATACATTCTTCTCTTTTGACTTGTATTTTTATTAATTTAGCTCATTTCTAAGAACATCCTTTTAATAGGAATTGTTTTTGTAATTATTTTCATACTGGAATAACAAAATGTGTTAGGATAATGCCAAATCATAGAGACATAGAGAGGGGAGCTCAGTTTGTGAGGTTGCCAGATGGTGGCAGTCTTTACCCATCTTTAAGGGAGTGGTCATATGTTATCTCCATCTCTTTATGGGATGAGAAAGGAGAAAACAATGATTGAAAACAGCAGGCATCTTCTCTTGAGAGCCAAACTGTGATTGTGCCAATTTTACGATTTTGCTTTTGTGTAATTTACCACCTTTTCTCATTTGGATCGTGGTTTGTTAAACCTTAAATGTGTGTTATTTGGAAATAACTGGCAATTGGTCTAATTTGTAAAGCAAAAACAACTGGAAATGTACTGCAAGCATGTTTGTGTCTTAAAAAATACAATAATTGTTTGATTGATTTAAATAATTATACAATTCTAAATCTTGTACATTGTACAACTGTGGAGTTTTAACTTATTGTAACAAAGTCTATATAGCAGTCAGAGAGATGGTTCACGCTGCCAAGGTCCTTGTCTGATTAGAATATGATTCAAGTGGGGAAACATTTTTAGAAGATTTGACCCCACATTGTCATTGTTAATCACTTCACCTCCTTCTATGAGAAATGTCTCTGATGCCGGACAAAGAGCCTCAGAGACCACACATTTAGCTGAGTTCAGGGAATGCAATATCTCCATTACGAATGTCTGGGCCGAGCTGCACCGAGAAGTTGAAAAGACACCTCTGATTGATGTGACACTGTATGAAAAAAATATTGACAGCTAAGCCAACATTCCTCATCGGGTTCAGCAGTGTCAGCTTCCTTTTCTCTCCATCCTTCATCCGCTCAACCCCGTCCCCTCCACAATGAAAGTCGAACAAATCTGCTGACATTGATCCTGTCTCCTCGCCTGGCCTAATTTCATTTCAGCCTGAGAGAGACGACTATCTCCAAAGATCTTGACAGACAATTGTATTTACTATTTTCTTTTCACCAGCCAATAAAGGGGGAGCAGTTATTGCATCAGATTATATGAAAAACCGTTTAATGATTCCAATTTATAACTCTAGACTGAATAATGATACAGTTAAGAGCTGACAGGCCATGATAAATGAAGGCTCATATAAAACATATTTAGTGTGAAGAATGGCTGGAGATGAATTGCACACTGATACAAACTCATGATAAAGAACAGTAAGAGCCACTAGAAGACTTAATAATGTGCTATTCATTTTGAAGTGATTTTGCTGGTTAATAAAAGAGCACAAATTAAAAATATATTTATTGTAGAAAGACGTCTGGGAATATTGCCCCTGTGTCTCCAGACGCCCACCCTCACCCAATCTAATCGCTCCACATCTCTTTAGATTGAACCTATCAAATCCTCAGTTTCCCTCTCCATCACTGCTGACTCTCATGCCTTTCCCTGTCCCTTCCCCTTGATTTAGTGCACGTATACGATTTCTTCCACAGCATATATTTCCAACTTTTACTCATTGCTCATGCTGCTGTTTGGACGAAACCCCTGAAATGTAAACCTACAACACACTGACAGTTACACACACCGACGCTAAATAACCAGCTAGTTAATGTATCAGCAAGGCTCATAGTGCAAGAAGGGATTGATTTTCTAAATGAATAGGGTTGATTCTTTATTGTGGCATTATCCTTGAACTGCAGCAGTGAAACACATAATATACACATATCACTCAGAGGACAGAACTAATGTGTATTCCCTATAGTTGTATGCAATCAAGTGTTGAACCCCTTTAAAATCATGGTCAAGGACTAGAGTCTATACAGTATGCTAGTACTGGACCAGAGAATGTGTCATATCCGAATGGCTCATATCACTGCGCTATAGGGCATTGAATTCACCACATACAATGACTGCTACGATTTAAATACACTGGCATACTACTCGAATGTCAGCAATGCGCTCCCAGAAAATGATTAAATGGCTGTTTTATTATTGCTATTGAAAATAAGGTCATAGTAACCCTGTTTGTTTGTTGTGTGAAGCACTGTAAATGTGATACATTCTGAGGGTTTAAAAGCAATTTAGTCATACAAAGAATCCACTATTTCTTACTTGCAGCCAACAATTCTGCAACCATCGTTAGGTGGCTTATGATACATACAGTATACAGACCCTCACTCAGGGTGATTTCCTGTCTGTTTTCCTGTACAACACATACACATTTGAATAATAAAAGTGCAGAGCTAATGAGAAAATGTAAATGAGACAAACGACAGGCAGACACTAGCCTTCATTGGATGAACAAGAACATGAGGAGCAAGGTCAATTATCCAAGGATCATGTTCACGCTGACACCTGGAAACAGATGAAGTAGAGGCCATTGTTTGGTCAATGTAGATGCAGCGGGGGTAGCGGGGGCATGGGACGGTGAGAGGAAACGCAGTGGAATAGGTGACCCCCAACCTTGTTTGTTGGCAGAAGAAGATCTGGATCAAACAGAGGGGTTGAGTTGTCTGTGGTGTATATGTGAGAACTCCCTGTGATACAGATACAGATTGATACAGACCGGGGCAACAAGGTTGGGGGTCACCTATGAATATTGCATTATTTACAGCGATGCTAATAGTTTTACCATGTGTGTCATTCATATATGCTTTTGTCCCATATCAGTAGGAGGCAGCGGGTCACTAATGTATTGTAGGTTCTTGTTATTTATTCAATACGATCATAATTCTCACTTAATACCAAAGGTTCATGGTTTATAGAAACAGTTAATCAAAATACCATGTAATGATATGTTTGACCGTCGGGCAGGTGGTCGACCACTTTAGTTTTTAGTAAAATATCTCAACAACAACTGCATAGATTACCAAGGAATTAGGTCTTGAAAAACACATATTATCGTCACCTGCAATAGTTTTAAGATCTTTAAGTACATGCTAAAGGTGTAACTGTAAGCAATGCTCAGACCAGTGGACCATTGGACCAGTGTTTATGTAGCTGTCTTAAAAAGTGGGTTTTAAAAAGTTAGATTAGCAAAACATTATTCTTCGCATTAACCATAGAGAACCTCCCATACAATGTAGAAAGGTTTAGAAAAGCTATTATGATTATATATAATAAAATAGATTAGCCTTAACCCTAACCTTAACCCTAAAGAGCATAGAGGAGAGTGATTGTCTAATTTGCTAGAGATCTTTCCCTCTACAGTATACTCATGGGAGAGAAAGAAAACGGAAGGAAGGGAGTAATAGGTACAGCAAAACAAACCAGGCAGAGGCCTATAAAAATACAGCTTCTTCCTCTCAACAGCCCCTCCTTGAGATGCAGATCATCCGTGATCACCTGATGGTTCCGGACACAGGGAGGGCTAAGCTCTCGTCGACCTCTCAAAGACAGCCTAGCAACACCCTCTGTTCTTATCATCCGGACACCCACACACTGCCTCTCTCTTCTTCACCACCTCCCCCAGGCCTCCCACCCAGACCCTCAGTCCTTGGAGAAGACCCCAGGCCAACGGTGAACAAGGGGCTCCTGAATGGGCCCTGGACTGGCCTTTGTCTGGCCCTACTGCAGAGTCCCTTTATTTACACAGTCTTTAACGCTGTATGTTTTCTTGTCTCTTAATTGCATTGGCCTTTGCTGCCCCTTGGTCAATCAATACCATCTCTCCAATGACATCAGCAACTCTATTCAGCGAGGCCTCACCAGGTGATGGGTGTTTCGTGGGAGAGCTGGTGGGAACGAGCCCTGTAAATGTAGACCCACCGCCCTCTTTCCTTCCATCACTGAGTCTGTGTACACATATATATATCTGTCTACAAAACCCTGTCTGTCTATGTACCCCAACCATATAGCAACATACAATATCTGTATGTACAGTATGATGGTTTCCTACTATCTATATACAACCCTCTGTCTCTTTGTTAATTCCCAAATGGTGCACTCATGCGGGCACGTGTTTTTTGTGGAGGAGGGTGGGTCTTCTTCAGCTTCAGGCTCAGCACTCTGGAGTCCATAGGTGAGCTAACTGCATCATAAGTCTGGTTGAAGCGACAATCAGTGCCATCAAAACAATTTTGCCGACCCTTGACTCTATAGAAGAGCAGGAGAGAGAGGGAGTTGACATGCCTTTACCAACCCTGAGTGCGTGTGACCAAGCACATTAATCATAAGAGGTATAACCCTCTCCTGTGTCCAATTCAGCGATGATTCTCTAGTGCCGCACCATGGCAATGTTTAGACAGAGCCGGACATAATTATCTTTTTGTGTACTTTAATAAGGAGACATCCGAGTGTTCAGACGACAGGGGCACACACGCCACAAAACTACCGTACAGTGATATTATCCCCTTCATTCCGTGTAATTAAAACATAAATAATTAAATGCCACTAACTAACATAACTGATATGCAAATTTCGACGATTTAGTGAGTTGAAGAACACAGGGATTTTTTTTTCGCAAATGGGGACCATTTAAAGTTGACCTTTGGAAATGTTTTTTTTTAATGCAATGTGATGGTGCTGTTTAATTTGAAGAGGTACTTATCTCAAAGTCAACATCTTACTTCTGTTTTCCTGACACACACTCAGTCACCATATATTAGGCAGTAGCCTGGCAACCACAAGAGTAGAGTCGTACCAAATGGATATGTTTGCAGTATGACAAGCCCGGTGTGCTCCTCACCGCTGACCCCGCCTGCCATTTTGTTTCTGTCCTGCGAAGGTGTCAGTGATAAACGTTACCTTGTCTCAGCAGGTGTGCCTGGATGGAGGGCCCTGCCGCACGGAGGGGGTCACCAACCCCACTGTGTTTCCCCCATTTATTTGAATAATGGGCCATTAGGACGGCTGGATATCCAATGTTAAAGTAGCCGTATGTGGCTCCTACATAAAAGACATAATTACCTGAGAGAGGGAGGATGTGTTGGTGCACACTTTTCCTCAGCTGTGCTCCAGAGCTCAGATTGAACACTCTCTCCTGCCATTAGGTGGCGACAGAGAGAATTTGAAGGCCCTGGCTATGGTTTACACACAAACATGAACACAACTGCTGAACAAAATGTTAGAACAAATTTAGTCAAGAAGTAGATGTCTGAAAAGGAACCTGTGGAATTTCAATTAAAATTCCTGCATATTAGAGTCATTTTAAGTCAAATCACAACACAGTTTGGGGATTTACAACTTGGTGTTAAATTGATCATCGCAGCTTGACTTTTTTTGGTCAGAAAGCACTTATTCATGTTTCAATTCAAATGTATTCAAATAGGCGACATACAATTAATTCAGTTTCCAGAGAGAATGTGTCTCTAAAACTACAGTATGTGTCTTTTAAACTATTTTCAGGCAATTACTGTTCTCGTTGAATTGCATAGTATCATGGTGAACAGAGAGTGGGCAATTTGTAAACCTTTGCCTTGCTGAGAGATAGAGTTGTCCTTTTTTGTCTGCATTGTGGCTCATTTTGCCTTTTATAATTTTAGTTCAAGAGAGACTTGCAGTGCAGTCGGATTGGATTGGAAATTTGGAGTGGTGTTTATATGAACCAAAGAGATTTCCAATTAAGGATGCATTCTTTATCATTTATTTGCCCTTGGGGTTTTATTCCTCAATTGCTATCACCTTATAAAAGCATCCTTTTAGCGCAAAGAATAGAAGCCCATTTTCATGACCTCCTCTAATGCGTTTCAATCCATCTTCACTGCCTCGAAAAAAGTTTTCACCTCTCCACAAAACATGTTAATTGCTATCGTGGGCCCAGTACAAAGAAAATATCTACACGTTAATTATCCAAATATATTGGCAACCCATCTGCAGACAGCCATTGAAATCACTAAATTGTGTTTTCTCCTTTTCGTCTTTCATTTTGGACACATTGTGAATCAAAAGGCTTTAAAAATGTGCAGATGGGTAATCCTTGTGTCTGCAAGGAGCAGCCTGGTTCAAGGTGAGTGTTTCATGCCCCTATAAGCCCTTCTGTTTCGCTCCATTGTGCTGTTTAGGTTATATCCTGATGGGATGTTCACCATACTTAAATGGGGACTTTTCTTGCACACATGCAGACAAACACACACACACACACACACACACACACACTAAACACACACACCAAACACACACACACTAACTCATGCACTCATATTTATGTGCACACGTACACTGCTCTACATGACTAGACCCACACACACACACAGACTCCCAGGAAATCTTGGCCTTCACTGTACAATGATGGGTCATTAATAATAATGTAATTACTAATTGTAATGTGATTTAAAGAGAATAAAATGTATTCCTGTTCAGCATTGTGCAGAAATAGTCATGTGAAAGATTTGAACCTCAAACTTCAAAGATCTATACAGTGTGTGCGCCATAAGAAGAAATCCTTAACCTCTGAGGTTTAATGGGGCAAAACTGTGGAGAGTCTCTTGAAGGGCGGTTAAAATACATTCTTATCGTGTTTTATAGCTGTGCCATGACTGGCTATCTTTGTCTGAAATGATTCATCATCATGACAGCCTTGGTCCAAAATGCCATCGGAAAATCATAAAGTTAAATCTCACTTTGATTATAACATTTTGTTAGATACCCAGTTTCACTAATGAGTAAGTGTCATTATGTATTCACCTTTTCTCATATTGAGTTGGATGTAACTGTATTATCTCTTCGATTTACACACGGCATCTATTGCACGTCTGTCCGTCCTGGAAGAGGGATCCCTCCTCTGTTGCTCTCCCTGAGGTTTCTCCCATTTCCCCCTTTAAACTGTGGGGTTTTTCTCTGGAAGTTTTTCCTTGTACGATGTGAGGGTCTAAGGACAGAGGGTGCCGTATTGTCATACTGATATTCTGTACAAACTGTGAAGTCCACTGAGACAAATGTAACATTTGTGATATTGGGCTATATAAATAAACATTGATTGATTGATTGATTGATTGATTGATGTAGTTGTCAAGAGTGTATATGAAGGATATTCTTTTTCATTATTAGCTATTCAATGCTTTTTTGTTAATGGTTGTTGAATCATATTTATTGCAATATTATCTCTTGTACTTCATGTCTTCTTGTGCCCAAAATCAGCAGCCAAACTAAAAACCCTGGATGTAGTGATGGGGATAAAGACCTATATACTAGTCAGTACTTTTCTATGTCTTTTTCACTGCAACAAAATGTTCAATTATATTTATTCATTGGTGAATTGGCTACATCCACATGCCACTGAAATATAGAATGTTCTTGTACAGTGATAATTCCTGTTTCTTATTTCTGTCTCTTGCATCTCTTTGAATGAACATGCATATATCGATAATACTGTTTGCAGTGTAAATAAAAGGACTAACGCGCCACATTTCTATGTCTTTTTGTCCTCCTGTTAAAATGGTAAGGTTTTTGGAATAGTGTGTAAGCTGGGTTCTTAAACACAGGTATTTCTTTAGGAAGATACATTTGCAAAATAAAAATAAAACGACCCTGACACTTCCCTCTTGAAGTTCAACTTGTTTTCCCCATGCAGAGTTATATTCTTCCTTTCCTACTTCACCCTGAAGGTAACAGTCGATATTCTTGCAAAGCTTTTGAATCTTTGCTCCGAAGCTGCTCTGTGCAGCTGGAGTAAAGGCAAAGACGGGCTCATCCATCTTGGAATGATCTGTCCTTGACCCATGCTTGGATTCATTGTTTCAAAGGATGGAAGAGGTCTTTTAAAGACTAAAGCAACCGTACCTATTGCTCTCTGCATTTCTTGAGTTCCCTCTTTAGAAATCGGCTCAAGAATCAATGCGGTTCTGCACACCGTATGCCTCGAGATACTGTTGCAGCCCTTCCAATATGAGGTGTGCTATTCTTCACTTCTGGGTTTTATTTACCACATGATTTGGTTCTCCAGTCCGCTCCAACGGAGAAACTGTTGAAGTGTTACTCCTTGGATTCACCTTAAACGATGGATTTTTTCCACAATGGTGAAACTGATCCTGTCTGGTGACTTTCTTGCTTATTATTCAGACATGCACTTACACAATGGTCCTTGTATATATGCATTAAAGACATGTACTGTATCTGGTCTCTGTTTTACACTTTGTAATGTATATTCACTGTGTGATGGAGTTCCTTCAGTTTCTTCTTTTGCTCTCATGTCTTCGGGTATTACATCGGCATTGGATTCCTCTTCCGATGGTACCTGACTCAGTCGACATATAGTTAAGTGAAAATGTTGATGGGGTGAACATTTCATTACTGGTTGAAGCTAAGCATTCTAAGCGCCTGACCTTGACTGTTTGCTTGTTTTGTAGCCACATGCCACAGGGGCTAAAATGCTAGCCGAATGTGTCCACCAAGTACTGTGTTTCTGGCACTTAGCCTCAGTAGCTCGGTTTATAAACAGCTATATGACTTTGCAAGGCCAAGCGCTGGCCTTGCATCAGATGCTTAGCACTGGAAAAAAAGGGGTATTCATGCCTAAAGTTATTTATGTCAGGTTATGTCTACAAAACCCTTCTACGCAACCCACAACTCTGATATTTTGATGGAAATACCAGACATTTCACAAGTGCTCTAAAGCAACTTCTTTTTCTTCGACACTCTGACACGTCTCACCACATTCAACGCTGTTTGTTCCCTGCCTTCTCTTCCTCTCCAGTGAGTAACATGCCAGGGCAAAAATGTTAAGACCGATCGCCCCTTACACTCCAGATCTCCTCAGATTCACAATGCACTGTTGTCACTTAAGAAATGGTAATATTCACCGGTGTGCAGAATTGGATCACTTTGTTAGAAAGCAACTCATCTCCTCTACTTTGCTTCACATCTCTTGAAGGGATAAAAACAGCCATTCACTCGCCTTAACACTAAGGGCTTTGCTGATCAAATGCTAAACCTTTCTAAGTGCATGTATTTGTGAAGAAAAATTGTTAAGCCTTTCACATTGATAGGAATGGCTATCATCGTGTATGAGTCTCAACCAGTACAAGTGAGCTCTTAGGTTTAATCAAACTCTTTTTTTAAAGTGTATCTTCCATGAGAATCAGCCCAGGCTCTGTGGCATTTGTGTGTCGAGATGCTCTCCCTCTCTTCGTTCTCCTCGAGTGGTCGATACATTAAAACTTGAACTGATTGATTTCAGAATGCCGTGCCATCAGTGTCCTTACGCTGCCGTTAACTACATCTGAAGTATCTTAGTCATCAAGCTTTAGACCAGGGATTGATAATAGCTTGACCGGCAGGGCCTATCTTACCCATCCTTTTTCAGGAGACCTTGTATTTAGCACCCAGAGCACTTGTAGCCCATCTCAAACAGCACAAGGGTATTCACAGAGCGGCTGAGTGGAAAGCTTTTTCTCAATCACCTGAACCTCATGAATACATTCCAACTTTAACTAACTACTTTGCCTTAATGTGGATTTTCAAACGCGGTGTGAAGCCAATTTATTTATTTGTATTCTTAGCGTCTTAGTGATACTCTTGAACACAGCGATGGCAGCGAGGATAATCTCTGTCTTTCATCAGCAAAGTGGCCCTGCACAAAACCCATCACTAATGTATTCAGTATTGATTGATGGTCGCTCCTGCACTACTAGGCAACACCATTATTACCATGCATAGATTCCACACTGCCCACAATAAAATCATTGTCTTGATTTAGGTTATACACCCCCCTCAAAGGTGTCATAATAGCACAACTGGTGTTTGCTTCATATTGCTTTCTTCCTCAACAATTACTATCATCATCTTTACACCAAACATATCATCTTTGATACAGGAGAGGATGTTTTCTATATAATGGAAATGTTGCCTGTGTACGTGCAACAGGTGTAAATAGAAAGGGCTGAAAAGAAAGACACTGAAGCGTAAACACATCTATAAAAGCAAAATAAATGTTGTTTCATGGTTAACCAGAGTAGTAAGTGAAATAACTGATTTAAAAAAGAAAAAGTAACAAGTTTATACCCCGCAAACTTCCAAAATTTAAATATATTATTTATAATCTTCATAAACCTTCATGTAGACTCTTCTGTGAGCCATGATCTCCACAATGGAAACATAAAAAGCATATGTTACTTATTATTTATTAATAAGTATATACATTATACTGATTTTTTATGTTAAACGTTGAATTGCAATTATCCAGTAATTAATAACCAAAATGATTCAAGTTTATGTATGAGGCATATTGCTTTTAGTCAAGGTGTTTTTTTATACTACTTTAAATGTAACACCACGTAGTTTATTACATGGTAGTTATTATGATATTTTGGATATTTAGGATATTATTATAAAGCAGTTATAATAAATATTTAGTCCTTTTTGAGTATATGGCTTTCATACAGATCTATAGATCAATGTTTATAAATATAGATATATGATAATTTAATTATTACTATAGTAATTATTCTTTGGTGTGGTTTTTTTGCACCTTGTTTAAGTTATTCTGGGCAGAGATCTAATAAATTATAGTCGTTAAATTCTGCCTCTTCGTTACTAATATCATTCAGTGTTGTGGCCTCAGCGCTCGGGTGTTTCCAGTGTCGACACATGTGGATCTATGTGGCAAACATTATTTGTTAGTAGTCTGCCTCATGGGAGATGCCCGGGTCTCGAATCAATGTGAATTACTTGTGACCTTGGTTATCAATCATTGTATCAGGGTATCTAATGTAAACGCAACTGTGGCGTGGATAACATGCCACATCTGCTCTTTGGACAGCGCTGCTTCTTGGTTACCAAGCGATTTATTAGAGAGCCCTGTGTGAGGAATAATAGGTCACAGTATAAAGATCAACCAGCAGCTCTTCCATAGGCGTACAATTATCTCTTAAACAGGCTGTTGTAACATTATCACTCACCTACAATATACTGCAGATAGTTTCGTTTCCCCAAAAAAAACATCTCTAGGAGAGGAAACTATATCTGTGTGGGGTTAAAAGCACCGTCCGCAGGGAGCTGTGTTTGCTCTCAAGACCAATTTATTGCCGATGAACATATGGCCAATATTTTGTCTCACGTCATAGCAAGGGGAAAACAAACACCATGCAATGTTAGCCAGTCAGCAAGAGCAGAGCCACTTGGCCAGCTATGCAAACGCTCTTGGACAATATGAGAAGAGGAGCACTTGCTTTCTGGGTATATAAACCACATCAGGCTTATCTCTGCACGCACTCCTGACTCCCATTTGGAGATATTTCATTAACTCTGCGCGCTGTCTTAACGCTGGCAACACATTCAGCCCCCCTCCAGTCTAGGTAAGCGCATTTGATGCTCCAGTCAGTTTGCACAGTATTTTCTCTTTTTACAGCCTAATAGACACTGCTTATTTTCTGTTGCTGATGTTTTACGCGCATCAGTGCGCATCTTAGTCCTTGAGTGTACAATAATGACCCAAGTGTTTTTTTTTAAAACTGTGTTTATAATGGGATGCTTATTCAGAGAGGCCTGTGCGTTTTTATCCTTGGTGATCATTACGCACTCACGTGGGTTGTTGGACATTTTGGGTGTGACTGTATACTGTGCGCGTGGCCTGCTATTTCATGTCCAAACTCAATCAGGAAAACGTGTGTTCTTATTATGTCAAAATATAAAAGATAAGCATTTTAAACTAGTTTTGATCTTATAAAATGTGTTTCGAAGATTGACCTCTTCAACAACAACACATTTCACATTAGGTCATAAAGAGCTATAATTTATTAAAGAACATATTCGTATCTGAAGATAGATAAAAGGAAAATGACC